AGGGCTTCTTTGAAGCACACTGCAAGCAAATAATGTTACAGTGATTAAAAGTAATTAAGTAATTAAAAAGGAAAACATGGTTGAAAAGAAATCAAAAACTGGGCATAGAAATAAATTAGGCACAGCTACTGAGTGAACAGATTCACAGACAAATGGGAGAACAGAGGTGACACATTTCTACTTCACAGACAGAGATGTTATGACGGAGTCTGAGAAGTTGCATAAACTCAATGCCTGAACACATGAAAAGATGAACAACATGCTAATTGCGTCTGTGCATGAGAAAGTGAGAAATTGTTTGCATGTTTGTGAATATGTGTGTGTTAATGTGAGTGAGAGGGCGAGGAAGAATGAAGGACGGGGGCCCAGCAGGTGGAGACAAGTTGTAAACCAACTGGTGACGCACTTGAAGAAGCGCGCACTAACCAGCCTCCTCCCCATCTCTGCTTTGCCCCCTCTCTTCTCATGAATAAACCGAGTCATTAATATTCATCTATTGCACATCGCTTCCACAGACAGGCTCTCGCCCCACCTCCCTACCTCACTCACTGATTCCTATTGTGTCTGGTGGTTGAGTGACATGGATGTCGTCCAATTGAAGCCACACAGTTTATGTACTCTGCGAAGAAGGTGCGTCATGGAATTTTTCTGCCACACAAAAGCTTGAAGACCAATGGGAATGTGAAGTATGAGCTGTCTGATGTGCTTGTTTCATCCTTATATAGGCATTACAAGCTGTGATTCCACTGTGTGAGCTCCGTGCCAGTGTGATCTCAATGTGTGTGTGTTTGCAGTGTGAGTGTGACTTTTGTATGTAACAGTTCTCTGTTTGCTTTGTTGTCTGTTCACACAGAATGAAGTCTGTTCTAAACATATTGTTGGAAGAGTATAAGAAAAATGTTGTAAAAAAAAAAAAAAAAAAAAGAGTTCTTTTTATTGAAGAATGCCTCTCCTACTAAATTGTGCATGAGCAAAGTATATATCTATAAATACACCAACCAAATAATATTGTCTGTATATTTACCTGCCTGCCAAATAACTGCCCAATAATAGCAAGACAAAAAGATCCCATGGCAATAACAAAGTCAAAAGCTTCTATTTAACAACTACAAATGAATTCATTATAAGCAAACATTTGAACAAATTCATTTGAACTGGACAAAAACGATCCAGCTGCAGAACAGCTGCCAGCTGTTAAAGACCCCTAGAATGAAAATCAAGTTTATAACCTTGTCAACATGTCCAGATGCTGTTTATATACATAATACAAGACATATCATGAGTGAAATAATCAGTCACCACCAGGACTGAGTATTTCCACCTTGGAACTGCAGTGAACCAATAAAATCATAAAAACATAAAAACGGATTCAGACAGCCAGGGATCCATACGTCACATACCTAAGGAACCAATCCTGTCAACCTGTGGGGACAAGGGGTGGGCAAAATGAACCCGAGACCTTGTCAGTACATAGATCAGAGTTTGCATTAGCATAACCACTAACACTGTGACAGCCACTGCCAGTTACAAGCTAACAAACAGCATAAACTAATAAAAGATGCTAACTACGCTAACCGCTCTGATATGTATGCTAGTCGCAAAACAGACTGAGTCCTCATCTGAGTCTGAGTCTGACTGAGTTTCAAACATGTGGCTGAGTCTCTCTGACATTTCCTCTAACACTAACCATCTTGATACTCTCTGCTCTTACCCCTGTCAATCTAGCGCAACCAGTGGTGGTGGCTGGGGCACAAGGCCTGATCCAGAATTTCTTAATTAGGAAGTACGTCTAGATGTGCTTCCAGCCAAGTTGTCCAATTTTTTTCACTTTTTATGTGTGGAAATCAACAAAATATTAATCATAGCAGAGTATTTTTAGTAGTAGTAGTTTAAAACGTGTCTGGAGAGGAACTTACCACATTGTTTTGGCAAAAGTTGGCTTCAGTAGGGCTGTTACACACATCACAGGATCAAATTACAAAAGGAACTTTTTTTCTCACTTATCCCTAGTATATCAAATTATAGAGATAGTTTTTTGTTTTTATGTTCTGTTATGTGTGTATGTCTGTATGTTATGTTATTTTATTGAATAAATACTCCTTATGAAGAACAGTGAGTGTCTAAAGTAACCCAGATATTGTTCCTGGAAATACAATTTGCTATTGAGCTTTTAGCCGTGCTAGCAGCGTGGCTCTAGATGTGTCAGTGTCAGTGTGCGGTCCAGAAAATTCTGAATGGATTGTTCATGGTCCCTGGAGGATGAATCCTGATGACTATCCTCTGATTTTTCCTTTATCGCCACCAGTAGGTCAATGTTTCCCCTTTTCCGGTCAAAATTCATAATTTGTATATTAAAATATATTAACAACTATTTATGTTTTGCCATGACAGGAAGAAGAATTACTCACTCACCCGTGTGAGTTTTGGACTGAGATTGACATGAAAAAAGGAAATTATCCTTTCACTCTTTGTCAGTTGTCATTACATGTTCAAGTTTCTCTTTTCTTATAGGAAGACATAATCATATGTCCATTACATTTTGGGGTACACCTGTCTGGATATCACAGACTAGCTGCTCATGCTCAGCACCACATTGATTTTATCCTGTTTTAGTATTTGAATGCTTTTTTCACAATTGTTGTATTCCCGTAGGTGATGCTCAACCCCGCTAATTATCATTATTGTTTAATTACTATCATTGCTGATGTTTTCTCCTGTTTGCCGACGCTCTGTCAGCACAGTGTGAGAGCAGGTGTCGTATGCAGGTGTTTGAGATGCTGGTGAATAGTAATGAAGTTGATACTGCTCGAGCTCTGTTTTCATCTCCACACTTCCTGTTCTGCATCTTTCTCACTTGAATAGTTCATAGCTGAGAAAGCTGGACAACAGCCTGGAGGACTTACACAATGGCAAATGTGTCTGTGTGTGCATGTATGTGTGTGTAGGTGTGTATCTGAGATTTTATTGCTTTGAGTGGACAGGAGCCAAGTCACAGAATGAAACACTCACATAAAAAAAAGAATGTTTTGTTAAAACAAGTATGAATTTATTCTTTCTTTATGATGCATCTTTCAAGAACATCTTTTTTTCTTTTACAGTAAAAATAAATAACAAATAAGCCAATCTGCAATATATAATTATTGTTTCTTTCTTAGATACAAAACACAGGACATGCACACTGACTGACTAAACAAGGAAACTGGGTAAAATGGCATAACTGGCACTTTGGTCGTCTGACAGTGACCTCACTGTCATGGCCACTGAAGAGCACCCGGGCTCAGTTCTACCTCCTCCACAAGACTCAATAAGCAACTAAACAGCGAGATGACACTGAATATTTCCCAAAATAATTCTCAACCAGGAACTCCATTGACAAAAAAAACAATCTAAAAGAGGCAATAATTTTCAGTAACTCTGAAAACTGGGTGGAGGAAAAAAAAAAAAAAGTCTAATCTAATCTTCTGTAGAAGCAAGACTAACTGGCTTTGTGAGTGGATCTGTGTGTGTGTGTGTGTGTGTGTGTGTGTGTGTGTGCCTCACTTGAATTGCCTCCTACTCTTTCACTCCCACTACATACTGGCCTTGTCCTCTATTGGAGCTACAGACCCTTTTCTTCCATCCTTTAACTGCCCTTGAGATATTGCAAGAAGAGTAGAAAAGCTGTGCGCAAATAAAAGGATAGAATATAGGCGTTGCTATACATCAGCACACATATAGTACTTCCCAAAGGCAATGTGTAAACTTGTTTTGAATGTGGGGAGCGATTAATGAAAGCTGCTGAAGGAGAACGAGTGGATGCCTATATTTGGTAACTTCCTCCTTCTTCCTATTTTTGCTCTACTTCTGCTGCCTCAGCAGTTAACAAAGCCTGCAGCCTTGTCCTTAAAGCTCACTTCTCTATCACTTTGCATCCTCGCCATCAGTCTGTCGGCACGTCAGTCTGTCAGTCCTAATTTGTCCTGTACCCGCTCCAGCTCCAGGCTCTCCCAATGCTCTCTTAGCGTATTTACAAATCAGCCAATTTGCACCTAGTCTGTCCATCTGGCATCGCCCAACGATGAGTCAGTGGAGCAACAAACCTAGTGACGTATTTGCCTTTTGCAGTGTTGCCAGCTTGTGAATCCATTCATCCTCATTTATCCACACACACACACACACACACACACACACACACACACACACACACAGATGCCCATGACAGCCAGAGCCAATATAAGTGGCCTCTGGCTGCGACATCAGGTCCATGTGGTCAGTCTTTTTAAGTTTGCTTTAATCATGGCTTATTCACACACCGGCAATCTGCTACTTTTTGGTGGATTTTTGTCTTTACTCGTTTTTTTTGTCCCACATTTTGTTTGTCGCTTTTCCTTTTCGGAAAACAAATGACCATGTAGAGCACCTTAAGTCCCCCTTTTTAAAATCCATTCTGTAAAACATTGCCCCAAAGAAAAGCATAATAGACATAGACATGATTCAGGAAATATTCAGTATATCTTTTTATCTAGATCTTTATCTGCATCCAAATCAACAATCTTTACACATTATATCAATATGTCACAGAAAGACATCCAACAACCAAATATCTCTGGCTTCCAGACAGGAAGCAACCGTTCCCTGTGGTTGTCTCAAACGACACCATATTTGCAGAAAGTGGTGGATGGTATGATGGATGGAACAACTACTGATGAGTGGATTTATTACTTTTCTCCTGCAGGTTGCCGCTTCTACGACCAGCACTGTCTCTCCCAGTGTCTCGCTGTACTCTCGCTGCTGCCTCTTCTCTTATTGCTGCATGAATGTTGTCCCCCCCTCCTTTCTCCTTTTTTCTCTTCCTCTTTCTAATCCTGTTTCTTTAAAACAAAATCCCTTCCCCTGCTGTCGCTGTTATTTTCCTTGTCACTCTTCCTTCTTCTTTGACATCCCTGCATTCATCTCTCTCTCTCTATCTCTCTCTCTCTCTCTCTCTCTCTCTCTCTCTCTCTCTCTCTCTCTCTCTCTCTCTCTCTTTCTCTCTCTTCTCTCCCTCCCAGCTTCACAGTATATTTTCTTCTCTTCTCTCTCTCTCCTGGTAAACACTCAGCCTCACTGTGCATTGTGCTCTGTCCTGTAGAAGCACTAGCCTTCACAGTTTTCCTGGATAAAGATGAAAGTGATGGTGCTGGACCACAGATATCAGTTCGAACACTCACAGAATATATAACTATTTACATGACACTTTAAGTGGTTACAGTATTGTCATTACTGTGCACTGATTCTAACAGTAATCGTAGTAATTGTAGCAGCCAGTTAATTGGATGCACTAATAGCACTAGTTAGTTAACTAAGCTGAGGTGACAAAATTGACAACATCATTCACAACTGCTATCAAATCGTGTTGACACTAGAGATGTACTCAGCCCTCATAGCCCTGATTACAGGGAATTGTGACATCGTACAGGTGAGACACAGAAAGCCATACCTGTAGAGTATTGTAGATATATATGAATAGCTGAAGAACTCTTAGCAGCCCTGAAAAGTGTTAAGCCCTGTAGGTGGTAGATTCAGAATCTAACCGTCCCCCTATCTCCCTGGCTGTGCCTTGAGAATAGGCTTACAGCAACACAGGCAAAGGGGGTGTAGAGAGTCTAACAGGGGTCCTCACAGCCTTTAAAACAGGCCAGAAAGGACATGGGGAGTGGTACTAAGAGTCCGATTCAGCCGAATAATAGGTGGAGGTTGAGGCAGAGGGTGAAAACAGAAAGGGCTAGTAGTGAGAAGAGAGAGGGCGAGCAGGATGAGGGAGAGGAGGAAGATGGAGGCAGGTCGAACTCAGGTGGACATTCGAGCTCAAAGCAACGCAGAGTGACACCTGAGTCCTCGTTGCCGTAGTTTGCCCAGTACTCTTCTGGGTCAAGTTTGGGCAGCGCCAGCTCTTCCTCCCCTAGCTCGTACTTGACTACTGAGGTGGTCGTGGATGGGCCTTTCCCGTACAAACCGGCCTTGACGGTCTCGGAGGCCTTCTCAAAGATGCCTTTTGTGGACGACTGGGGCTTGTTCTTGTGGAACCACCAGCGGGTCTTGGTGCTGAAGGTGGTGGTGGTGGAGCCAGCGATGGAGCCGGGGTCGGGCAGGGGGCAGAGAGCGAAGTCCATCTCACGAAGGAAGCGAAGGTCCTGGCCGCGGCGGGTGGAAGGGGAAGCGCAGATCACCTCGGATGAAGAGACACGGGCCTCACGGAACCACTCCCACAGGGCGCGGGACTCACAGCCACAGGACCATGGGTTGGCATTGAGGCGGAGAAACTCGATGCCCTGGGTGTCCCTCAGGGTCTGGCTAGGCAGCTCAGCCAGGGAGTTGTTGAAGAGGAAGAGCATGGTCAGGCGGCCGAGGTCACGGAAGGCGCGGCGGTTCACCTGCCTGATGCGGTTGTCATGGAGGAGAAGGCGGTCAAGGTTGACCAGGCCACGGAACACGTTCTCTGAGAGGGTGCGGATACGGTTGCCATGCAGGAAAAGCTGGCTCAGGTTGATGAGGTCAGAAAAGATGTCATCCTGCAGGAAGTGCAGATTATTCTCCTGAAGAAGAAAGGAAGAAATGGAAAAGGGTTCAGCATGAGAAGCACAGACACTCTGGGATTTGTAATATTTGGACATTTGTGATGCTGTGTGTATGTGCATGTGTGGGTGGCTGCATTAGTGAGTGTCCAACTGTGCGTCAGTTATCTGCATGACTCTCCAGCGCCCCTACCTGCAGATAGAGGAACTGCAGGCTGTAAAGCTTGTGGAAGATGTCATGGGGCAGGGCAGTGAGCCGGCAGCGGTGCATGTGGAGGCTCTGGAGTTTCTCTAGGCCGCGGAAGGCTCCCCCCTCCAGCCTGTGGAGGTTAGGGTTGTCCCCCAGGTCCAACTCCTCCAAGTCCCTCAGCTCACTGAAGGCCCCTGCCTCAATCCATGTGATGTTGTTGGAGAACAGCCACAGAACCTGATGCAAGAAAATGCAAAGATGCAAAGGTGATCATTCTCTTCCGTGGATATTATTCAACTTTAAAATATGGGGGGAAAAAATATGTTGAAATGTAGTCTAAGAGACAGCTTCACACTTCTCCACACTCCTTCTTACCTGAGTTCCGAAGCCAAAAGAGCCAACTCTAAGCTCCGTGATCCGGTTGTTCTGGAGGAACACGCGCTGCGATTCGTAGGGCACTCCGACCGGGACGGCGGTGAAGTTCTGCGCCTGGCAGCTCACAGTCATGGGCGTCGGGTAGCACACACACAGGTGCGGGCACGCCGATGCCGGACTTGGCTTGCCGAGGACCAGCCACACCACCAGCCAGAGGGAGAGACCGCCTGGAGGAGAGAGAGAGAGTGGAGATGGAGGGGAAGAGGTGAGCGGGAGCTGTCCGTGATGCTGAAATCAGCCATTACCAGCAAACATAGTTACAATCCTATACAGTCCAAAGGCTCATTTTCTACTGCATGTTGACATCGTATCTTCATTTGGTGATATTGTTTTTACTGTAAATGCGTCTAGAATAATAGGATGAAGATTTTACAGCCGTATCTTTCAACAATAAATGAAGTTTACGCTTCAGCACTACACTTGCACTGACCATTACGCACAGGATCACCGCAAAAGTGCTGGTCAAAACATAGAGACTATTCTTTAGAGTTGACAGAAAGTTCTTATTCTATTCATCTTCACATCCTGTACATGCAATTTGCCTATTAGAAATCATAAAATAAGTAACTGTCTGACAGTTTCCTTTCGATGTTCTATCATCCATCCAATCATCAATCCACTTCGATGTTACATTGAATAAATCAAAACACCTCAAGAGTTCTTAGATTAAAAACTTAGAAACTGTTTCACAAATTCTGTTGAACATCAGAATCAGTTCTATGTCTGTAGTATCCATGCCGTATCCAAAACCAAAGTAGACAAGGAGAAACTTACTTTTGCAGTTGCGCATGATGGAGCATCGTCGGCTCCGAGAAATCGAAGAGGTTTCCATCCTGAACCAAAGCCCAAAGCGAGTTAGCCTAATAGGTTGAAGTAAAGCCTGCTATCTCCGCTGATGCCCTGGTTCCCGAGTCGGAGCGACTGAGAGTGTGCCGGTTGATGGCAACCAGTGCCCCATATATACTCCAGCATCCCGTTATTGCCTACGGCAGTAGGCACCGTGGAATCTCCTACGTCACCGATACGGGGTCATGAATGAGTGAGGGCGGCAAGAAACGGAAAGGGGAGGGGCCGACCGTAGGGGATTCTCTTGGAGAGCTTGTACGCGCGTAAAGGCTTGTTGGAGACGTGCGCTCAGACTCTGTGAGAGGAGGAGACTTTCTCGACGCACATAGGAACAAGAGGAGGGGAGGGCCAGAGAGTGAAAGTAGAAGCAGTGAAGGGAGGAGGGGGAAGGGAGGGAGGAGCGAGCCAAGGCACGGTGCCCAGTGATGATGACTGGGTTCTGTGGAGGAGCGGAGGACGGGAAGGAGAAGAGCGCACAGCTCCCTTCCTGGCTGGCTCTCTCAGAGACCGTTATGGTCTGTTTCCGGCGCGCTGCAGCCAGACAGAGATACAGAAAAAGGCCTAGATGGTTCTGTCTTAGGGAATGAGGATGCCCCCGAATTATGATTCAACCACCAGAAGACAACTCGGTGCCAGAAGAGAGTCACTCAAAACAACCATGGTTGAGTAGTATTTGTTGTGGAGGTTAATTAAGACATGTTCCAGTAAAGTAATATAGCTCCTGACATAATTCTTCTGATGATGGAGATATGAACTGGCATTAATTGAATAATCAAGGAAACAGTGACAGATAAACTGTTTTTTTTTCTATTTAAGGAAACTTGGGTCACATTTTCATGTAAATTTGAATTGGACTGTTGAAATGTAATTCCTCTCAGCACTTATGTCTAATTCCTCTGTTTTTATTGCACTACTTCAAATGTTGTTAATTAGCTTCATAAATGGGGGGGAACGGGCTGGTAATGAAGCCAGAGAACAGAAAGACAGCAAAAGACAACAGATGCCTTAATATGCACGCCACTTCAAGTCTGTTTCACTGTGTCTGTGCCTCAAGCTGTCACTGCTTGTGTTTGACCACCAGCTGTAAGATAGCAAGACGGCATCAAGTGTGACAATGATACACTGTGATACAGAAAACTGCTATTTGCCTTCTAATTTGATCAAACCAATTCAACTTTTGATCGTATCTACACTGAAAATGTTTCTTCAACATGAAGCAGCTGCTCTGATGCTGATTACATTACGCACATCCTTTTTACATCAGCACAGTGCTTTCCAGTACAGTGCAGTTCAGCACGACTGCAGCATAAAGTGCATTCTCAAGCTGAGTCTATACATAAACAACTGAAGCTGTATATCCAGTAAATCAGAGTTATCAGCAGGGATATTGTATGATGTATTATTACATCATAGGTGCGTGCATCTTTCTTGCCACTCAGTGCATCTACATATTGTTCAATTATCCCGTGAACATGTAAAGAACAAATTGAGATGAGAGGCCAGGACTCTACATTATTCTATGTCCATTTTGCGCAATTTTGAAACATCACAGGAAGTTGTACGCAACAATTAAAGCTCAGCAAATGTGATCAACAGACATACTGTACAATGAGGCAGCACAGCCACAGTACGGTATATTGAAAAGTATGGAAAAGTAGAAGCTCTGACATGCTTTCAAGGCAACATCAGCTTTCCAAAATAGCACAATTGCCTTGTTTGTTTCCTTATTTCCTTTTGCCTAATGTATGACTCAATTTGTGATTATTGATTTATGAGCTTTGTTACTGTAAATCATTTCAGACGTGCTTGCATGAAGAGCTGTATGAGGAGCCATAAAGAGCTGTATAAATATATGACACTTGAAGTTTTATGGAATAGTTTTCAAGAACATTATTCAAGCAACACTCTGAAATGAAAATAACCCCCTCAGAGTAACTTTAGTGAGACTCCAGGTGTGTGACCAGTGTTTGGAGGGTTCAGAATGGACCTTGGAGAATGATTCCAGTTTTTTTTTTTATGTCTGACATTGACTATAATTGTAGACTGCTGCTCAGGCTGAGAGCTATGAGGAGACAGACGACAGAAGAGCATCCATTCATAGAAACAGACAGGCGGCTCAACAGATGAGCTTATGAGGCAAGAAGTAGTCACATGTAAGGGTGTATGCATGCATCACACATACACACACACACACAGATACACACACACACACATCGACACGTGTACTGTACAGTACACACACACACCGTTTGTATACACACAGTCTTCACAAAGCCAACTGAGCCACAGGCATGATAAACAAATGAGTAATTGAGGGGATCCGTTACACGGTGTGTGTTGTTATTCCCTCACACCTCCTGCTTTGTCCTTATCTGGACTTGTGTGGACACCCACAGTATCAGCTGTGCAAGTGTGTGCGTGTGTGTGTGTGTGTGTATGTGCGTGTGTGTGCGTGTGTGTGTGCGTGTGCGTGTGTATGTATGTATGTGTGTGTGTGTGTGTGTGTGTGTGTGTGTGTGTGTGTGTGTGTGTGTGTGTGTGTGTGTTTGACGGGGCACCACTTTGTCTAAATGCCACTGCGGCGTGTCAGTCAATCAGTATTGTGCTAGTCACCCACACAGCAGGTTTGCGGTACTGTGTAGGCACCATCTTCTCAATGAGTGTAACGGTCCCTACGTCGTGTTTGTGTAATCCCCACACAGAAACGAACCGAGGCTTCCCCGGCCCGCACCCACTCCAGCACATCTGCCAGCGTGTCTCTCTGTCCGTCTGCACATCTGCCTTCATCTGTCCCTCACGCTGCACCTCGTCTTATTCACTCTTTGATTCCACGGTTCGTTACCGACCGAGGAGTACGTCACCACACCTACCAGCACGGAGTGTTGCTATCTTGCTCCTTGTGGTGTGAGACACAATGAAATAAACTGATTCCACTTTCAGTCAGCTGAGCTAAATGAGCCCCCCTGGATTCTTTGGTACAGGTGCGACGTCACCACCGTCACTCTGGCAGCAGGTCAGAGTGGATGTTGGTCAGAGGTGATGGGAGACTGTAGTAGAGATGTGTCTCTTGCTAAGGTAAAAACAGACATCCTAAACACACCAACACACGCTCTCAGGCCTGTGATGAGGATATTAAATATATCTTCCTCTTCTTGAACTGCAGCCTCTTTTTTTGTTAAGATCCTGTAGAGGTATCGATTTAAAAAGGACGCTGAGCAAGAGAGGACAACTTCTCAGAAACGAACTTAATCAAAAAACTGCGTTTGCATTCACAACTTCCACACTCCCATTGGGCCACACTAATGTGGAGACACAACGAGGACGTGCGCACAGGCCCCCTAATGGTCGCAGCAGACAGTGTGATGTGCATTGTGCAACAGAGGGATGCAGACACGGAGACTTGAAGACACAGACACAAACGCACAGCACACAAACAGCGTTAGTGTCACGCACCGTGCAACAGTGACACAAAGCAAAGCAGGACTTGTGCCTGTGAAAGGTGACTCAACATGTGATTGTTGTGTAGCAAACTGTCGCTCCCTGGCGTGGCCCATCTATCTCTCACACACGCATTCATAGAGGCAGCAGCATCTTTCAGCGTCTGTCCAAGTGTCACCAACGTGCCATTATTCCCCGCCTTGCACATCTCCCCTCCCTCACGTCGCTTTTCTCTTTTGTCTGCCAGTGCTCCCTCCCTTTTTTGCCAGTATCTTTCATTTACTCTGTCCCTTGACGTCACCACTTCCGCTTAACCATATACTGCTGCTCTCTCTCCACACACTGGCACACACACAGCCTGCAGCACAATGGATGCTGGAGTGGCATCTTCTTATAAGGCAACTACTCTTTGGGTTTCTAGGATGCTAGACAGCCTGTTAGGGAGAACGTCATCACCATTGTGTGTTTTTATCACTTTTTTAAGGAACGCACGTGTTCTGCACTTCAGCAAAAGTTTCAAACTTTTAACTTTAATTTTACTCCATTTTATAAAATTTGAAAACTATGTAGTAACTCATGCTGATGTCTTTATTAGTACCTGAAAATTAAGATATACTGTGTATTAATATTAGTTATTAGTTATTAGCTTTGAATTGGATATCATTAAGAATTTATTCTGAGCTCTGTACAGGGCCAAACTGAATTGCTTTTTGGGGCTGGGGGCAATAATGATCTGTGAGCTCATATTGACGCCCCACTGTTCTGCATTTGAGTACACTATCCATGTGCTCTGTTGTTTAAGGAGCACGCCACCAATTTTACACAAGAAGCTTAGTTTACTCTTTATTAGGTGGAAACATTTGTGTAAATGTCTTTTGTAGCGCTGGAGAAGATTTGTCAGCTTTGAGAGAATAACCCTGATGATGTCACCAGGGGTTAATCTAAGTTTAGGCTCGGAGACTACAAATTAATAGCCAAAAGACTATGTTACACCCTACAAGTTTACAAAGACATGAAGGGTCTAGTTACAGAATAATGCAAGAGGAGTTGCATTATGGGAAATGTAGTGTCCACCGTAATTGAAGCTTGATCCTGGGTACTAGAAGTCATAGATAAAGATATTTCAACCACTGTTGTTATGATTTTGACCATTCTTTTTTCTTTTTCTTTTTTTTTTTTATCTGTTTCTCACAAGACCCTAAGCTTTATGGGAGCATAGTGTCAAATTTCTGATGTACCCCCGTTAATCACCCGTCATGCACAGAGCAGAAGGCAGACTATAAATGCCGGTTTCTGCTTTTATGTACGCTACAGTATTTTTTGGCCTCACTTTTGCAGCATGTATGATTTTACGAACATACATACATTTTTAGGAATATGCACCATGTAAAATAATATCGACAAAAATAATTAAGATAGGACCTCAAGATTAGGTTAACATGCAGGTACTGCCTTAAATGTGCCCTGGGGAGTTTCCTTGTAAACAAACAAGGAGCCAGATGATGTTCAGTGAGTGACAGCATCCGCATTAGGAGGAGGTTAGGGTGGATGCATGGGCTGACAGAACACAGGACTTTTAACACAGTTCACCACTGTTTTTTTTTCACCACTTTAAGTTAACTTGCCTATTATTGTAACCATGACGATTAACTCATCTTACTTATTTTAACCCAAACC